TCCCCACTGCAGCCTCGGCTTTCTGTTTTTAACTAACAGGAGTGGAACTCAACATGGTCTTCTGCTGTTATAGGCCATCCCTCTCTAGGTTTAACATGTTGGGCTTTCTGAGATGTGTTACTGCATACCACAGTTGTAAAGACTGGTTATCTGAGTTACCATTGCTATTCTCTCAGACTGAAACAGTTTGGTTGTTTTCCTTTGACCTCATGAATAAGGTGTTTCTGTCCATAGAACTTCCCCTCACTGTATGCTTTTTTGTTTTTCGCACCATTCTGAGTAAACTCTAGAGACTGTTGTGCTCCAAAATCCCAGGAGATCAACAATTTCAGAAATATCAAACCTGCCCATCTGCCAGCAACAGTTATGCCAGTATCTGGCATTCTGGCATTTTATGTGAACATTAACTGAAGCTCCTGACATGCATGTGCATGATTTATGCACTGTGCTGCTGTCACATGATTGGCTGTGTTCCTCCTAAAGTATTCAGGGTCTATATAATATTAATGTAATATCAGGTGCTTAGTTTTTCCTAATTATATTCTTGTATTCCATTTATCCAGATATCCACCTTTAAACTGTTTATTCAAAATAAGGCTATGGTGTTTGTTTTACTCTGTATCTTAATGAGCTTGATTAAGTCATCATTCACTTTGGGAATACATACTTACTACATAGTCAGTGAAAAAGCAGGAAGAGAATATTCAAGTAATTGTTTTAATTTTTACATTTTACATTTACATCTATGCATACAACTGAAAATAAATGCCTGTAAATATAACAGGCTATCTAGTCTCTTAACCACATAAGTAATAAAGTGGTGGTTGCAATAGTAATTGATACTTTATTGATTCCCATAGGATAATTGTCTTTCTACACCTCCCTCAACTTGCTATTTGTAGAGTAAGGTGTCTGCAAAGGGCAGCCACCTGTTGGGGCACCTAGGGAGCTAGGGGTTAAGGCCCTTGCTCAAGGACCTGCAGACGTGCTCAGGCTGGGTTTGAACTGGTGATCTTCTGACTATAGGTACACAGGCTTAGCCCACTGAGCCACATGCTGCCCCGGAATAAACAATGATCAACAAAACATACACAGGAATGACGAGCATGGTCATTTTGACGGCTGCTGCTGAGTGAGGGTCCAAATTGAAAGTTCGTTCATCTTCCAACCGCTTTTCCCATATGGGTTTGCAAGGAATCTGTAGCAAAATCCTGACAGCATAGGGTAGGGCAGCACCAGGCCAATCGAACACAGATCACTCATACATTCATTATGGGCAATTAAAGACACCAGTTTTTCTGACTGTGAGAGGAAATCGGAGTAACCAGAAAAACGCAAAGTAACTTGGGGAAAACATGTCCCCTCCAAACACAGTAGGAACTGGATTCAACCCCCATATCTGGGGTCTCATTTATAAAACTTTGCGTAGAACTCATACTAAAAGTGTATGTGCACTCAAAAGATGAAAATGACGTACGCAAAGAAATTGTCAGATTTATAAAAATGTGCGAACGCACACCTGCACGCAATATACGTTTTATAAATCACACTGTACCTGGGATTGTGCGCACGTGGATTTGCCGCATATTCTGCCCTCTACACGCCCCCTACACACCCCAGTTCAACCATACATGGTCAATGCAAATCACCTCATGCATATTTAAGCCTCCAATATAAACCTGAAAAACTCATGGCATCATGGCACCCGAGAGGAAAAGTAAAAAGAGAAATTTCTCTGACACCGAGATAGATGTGCTTGTGGGTGAAGTGCGTGCCCGAAAAAAGTGGTCAGATCTGAAAGTGATTATAAAAAAAAGAATTGCGGTGCATCGAAAGAGTTTGTCTGCTAGCGGAGGCGGTGAGGGCATGTCGGAGCTGACACCTCTGGAAACCCGGATGGCTTCAATACTGGGGGAAACAAGTGTGTGTGGGGTGGTGTCTGAGAAAGAGGGAGACACAGACATGGCCGAGACGATACATGGTAAGCGTTTTTTTTGCATTTGTGAGAAAAAAAAGTTTGCATTGACAAACCATAATGTAATGGTTTTGTTGTCAACTAGAGAAAATGGGAGCAATAGGTGGTGAGGAGTTGCAGGAGGAGGCTGAAGAGCACCTGGGTTTCCCCAGTACCAGCGAGTCCCGGGTGCATGTAGCCTCTGGAAGTGGCCGGGTTCTAACTGAGGCTGTCTTGGCAACACAACGAGATACAATTATAGCAATCGAAGTAATTTCGGATTAACTAAAACAAATACGAGCTGTGTTAGGTGATATCTCAACAACATTAAAAGATTTTGTTGAAAAATATACCTTTGCACTGCTGTCTTTACAAATGCCGCATTACATCTTCCCTAAGTCTTGCTCAGAATTGATAGCCTTCATACCGCGTCTGGGGCTGTGGGTCCAAGTCCTCGTGCTGTGGTAAAGATAGGTCAGGAGGGAGAGGAATGCCGTTCCTCTGTGCAATGTTGTGCAACAAAGCACAGGCTCTAATAATTCGGCACACTTTTGGGGGGTGGTATAAAAACCGGCCACCTGATGCGTCTAAACACCGCTATCTGCATTTCAGCAGTCCGATCACACGCTCCACAACGGTGCACACACGAGCGTGAGCATCATTATAGCGATGTTCCTGTGCGCCCTGGGGGTTTGAAAGGGGGGTGAGGAGCCAGCGCTTGAGAGGGTAGCCGCTGTCACCTGCATTTCATAACAGAACAATTCAATACATGAACAATGAATAAAATTACTCAATGTTTTTATCACCTTACCAAGAAGCCAGCCATCGCACGCAGCGCCAGCCTGCAATCTGCTCCCTACACTGCTGTGTTCTAGGATGATTGAGTCATGTGTTGAACAAGGCCATCGTGCAACCACGTTTGTCAGGACCATATCAGCGTCACAAATAACTTGCACGTTTATAGAATGCACACATTTTCTATTCACGTAAATAAATTTGTTTTCATATGGAGCCCTTATTGCAATGTGAGTGCAGTCAATTGCGCCGATTACATTGGGGAAACCGGACATTGCTGCAAATTGCCTTTTGATGTTGGCCTGTTCTCCCACAGTGTAAGGGAACTTAATGTATCTACAAGTCATTTTAATAATCCCATCCAAAATGACAGGTATTATTGCGCTTAGTGATGGTTGTGATATCCCAGACCTAGAATACAATTGAACACAATTACATTATTATTGTATTTCCTAAGCAAGCTTTAGAACAAATTCACAATGTTATTGTTAATTATAACATATACCTGTCGGCTAATTCCCACTGGTAACAGCCAGTTGCAAGGAACCCCAGGGTCGTCAGTACCTGTTTTTGTACCGGGATTGCGTGGATCCATCGGGATACTCTGTCTAACATTGGACCCAGTTCAGCACATAGCTCCAAAAGCACACATCTAGGTAATCTAAATCGGCTTATGAGCCAGTCATCATCATGGGCCAAAAAATATTCATGATCCCTGAACACCCGTTCCCTTCTAATTCTGCCATTGGTGTAATCTTCAACAATACGCGTATCCATTATGTTATGTTGCACACGAATGTGATCATGGTATTTATGTGTTTTCAGCAATGAAACTGATCGTTTCACACCGTGTCCAAATGACCGTGATAACCACGACCACCACTTATCCATTTACATTTCAACTGCTGCGGTGCATAGAGTAAAAGTGTAGATTAAGTTAAGATTTGAGTCGGATTATATATTTATTCACTATTATAAATATGTGACTGAATAAATGAAATGAAATATATGGTGTATGACTCACTAGCACAAGGAATTATTATTTTATGTACTGATGCCACTCACGTTTTTGCTCACCCGCGGTTGTATATTTTTCTCCAAAATGTTTGCAGGCATGGGTCAGAGTTGGCGTACTTATGCGCACATTCTGCGGTCAAGTTTATTTCTAAGGATCGCAACATTTGCGTAGAAAGAGGCATACGCATCTTATAGGTCATGTTTTGTGAGTATGCAGCAGTTATAAATGAGACCCCTGGACTTACACATTAGTTATTTTTAAAGATCATATGAAAGTTGTTTTGCCATGCCTGACAATGGCCCAGAGACCAAAGTCACATGACTAGGCAGGCACAGATCATCACAGAAGAGCATTTATAAAGAGCAAAAGCAATTCATTCACCCTCTGTTAGCTTACACTAAAGGGATGAGGACCCAACAGCAGCCACATTTTCCATTGTAAAGATCCTGCAAGTAACTTTTACACACAGAAAGGTAACTTTTCATCTTTAACGTAAGTGAGATTTCTCAGTACATATTTTACACCTTTATAACAAATTGCTTTCCTTTTCAGTAAGGAAATTTTTAAATTGCTTATATGTCAGCTTCAATATATGTGAAATATGACATTACTGTTTGTTTCAAATGTATATTTCCAGGTCTGTATTCACAGCAGAGCGCACTCGAAGTTGGGCCACGGCAGTTCAGGTACCAGAAATTCAGTCATACTGGGAGACATTCATATATATAAATTTCCTACTTCAAAAAAAAATTAAAATACACCATAATGTTAAACCGATAACAACATATCTTAATACAAATACAATGAGTACAATGTCATTTATACTTTTTTGTAGTTTTCATAAACATTATGAAAGCTAATTGTTATGAAAATTCAAAAATGTTTCATTTGGTAGAAAGTGCAGGAATTATGCATTGAATAATTTTCAATATTTTATATGTGGTATTTTGCTGTATACCATATTGTGTTGTAATGGTTACTGGTTATCAGTACTATATTCCGTATGGGCCTGAATTAACCTTTTTGAGGGGATCAATCATCTTAAAACACTGAAAAAGAGTTAAAAATGATTATGAATATTAAATTGAAGCAGTTAATATTAATAATGATAATATTTATTTTAAAATGTATTATTATTATTATTTAATTTCAAAATATTTTAAAGCAAATAAATTTAAATACATTTTAATTTTCAGAACAGACAAGACTGAAGAACAGCAACAGTGATAAAACATGTCTGACATAAGTTTCTCAAATGCCACTGCAAACTCTGTCATCCGTCCTCAATATTTTCAGGTCACTGGTTTTTCTACCATGCCTCATGCCAAATACTACTTTATTTTCTTGTGCTTTGTGTATGCTGTCACTTTATTGGGCAATTCCTTTGTCACGCTTATTATTTACATAGACCGCAGACTTCACATCCCAAAGTATGTTGCTATTTTTAGCTTAGCTGTAGCTGACTTAGGTGAGAGCACTGCCCTTATTTCTAATTTGTTTAGCATCATTGTCTTTCAAACACAGCAGATTGCCTATGGTGCTTGCTTGGCCAATTTATTTTTTGTGTTTTTCTTCAACTCTGTGCAGTCTGTCATGCTTACTGTTCTAGCATATGACAGGTTTGTTGCAATTTGCTTTCCACTGAGATACCACAGCATTTTAACAAACACCTCAATGGGTATTATCATCTCTGCTGGCTGGGTATTTAATTTTCTATTTATGCTTATTGGACTGATTTTCATCACCCGACTGTCCTTCTGTAAATCCACACTGATTTATAGTTACTTTTGTGACTATGGTCCCATAGTAACACTTGCTTGTAATGATCGTCTTCCAACTGCCATAATGACCAGATTATTCATAGTGTTCCATCTGTTTTTACCAATGTCTGTAATTGGTTTATCTTACGCATGTATTTTGCTGGCGCTATTTAAAATTACATCCTGGGAAGAACGTCTGAAAGCCCTAAAGACCTGTTTTTCTCATCTTTTTTTGGTGTCTGTGTTTTACGGTCCATTATTGGTGACTTTTGTAGCTGGACTCTTTACTCCATTTGACCTCAACATCAGGATAATCACTACATCACTCTCATATGCCATTCCGGCCATGTTAAACCCCATTGTGTATTCTCTCAACACTGTAGAGATCAAGGACTTTGCAAGAAAAATGTTCAGAAGAAGAATACCAAGCATCGTTGTTGCATTTTCTAAATGACGAGTAAAATATCCTCACATGTCAATGCTCATTTATCAATAGGTATAAAAGTATTTGTATTTTTTTCATAAACACATGCACAATTTATATTAATTTTCATTAATATAAAAAATTACAGTGTTTGTTGTTCTACAGATCCCTAAAGAAGTCAATCATCTTATCATCAGTAAAAAAAAAAAAACTGTTGAAATGGGCACATTTAAAAATATCCTCAGAAAGAATATGTTAATGCTGATGCTTTAAGGTTAATTCTTGATTACAAATGGTAGCTTCATCTGTTTCAAAAATCAGTGCTGATGTGTTTTTGAAAAGTGTTTTATTTAAATGGACTCATTCTGTGATTTTATATATTTGTGCTTGTAAGTCATAAACTTCAGGCATATTTTTTTATTTTATTAACCAAATATAAATGTCAGAAATTACATAACTTGCCTTTGCATCTTGCCTGACATTATCATGATGCTTACACATTATGGTAATGCTCACTCACAGTACCTGATGGTGGAACACAGCTAAAAACTGTCTTGTAGTCAAACGAACACTATCTGTATGGCTGTCTCACCATATTCTCTCTCTCTCTCTCTCCCCCCTCCATACGCACGCGGACACACACACACAGATACGCACGGTGTTCTGCAAGCCACGCTGGTACAGTACACAATAAGTCCTCTTGACCAGCCCTGTGCATCACATTGTCTCCACCCAAAAGGTCAGCCATCCCAAGCGACTCCCATCTCCACTACAATGTCTATCAAATGTAATAGAAGCTAGTGTTGTCACCACAGCTGGTGCATTATAGTCCACAGGGCTCTGGATGTAGCTCCCTCTCCTGGGGTGTCCGCATACTCAGCCGCTGCTGAGGGGTTAGGTCAGGCCAGACGATCCCTGTACAGGACTACAGCCTTGTGTCACTCGGGTGGCTGCAGGCAATAGATGATATCAGATAGGCGCTTGAAGATCTCCCCCGGTTCCCTCCAGTGACTGCCAAGCTTTGGTGACCACCCCTTCTTATGGAGGGTGCAGTACCTAAACTGGGTCCTCAACACCAAATTTCTGCACGCGGCTCCATGCATCATAGACACACTTCCGTCAAGTAAACACTGCGTCCTGGTGTTGCCGAGCCAGCTTATGCACATCCCTCAGATACTCCCAAAGGCACCACAGGTACTCCATACTAAGGTTGAGTATCATTTACGTTTTATCAAATCTGATTTTGATTCTGTTTCTGCTTATCAAATCCCGTTATCAGACCTCAGTTCCGATTCCAATATTTTTGGAGAGAAAAAAAAACAAATTTTTCAAGAAAAAAACTTTATTCTTGGCACATTTAAACTATGATCAGGAAAGTCAAATGTTCCCTTCATATATACAAAATGAATATCAACGTGATCAACAAACAATTACAAACCAAAACTATTTAAATAATGAAAACTGTAAGAAAAAAAAATAATAATAATGCAAATCAACTATTCTTATAAAGACAAATCAACATGTCAGCTTTCTCCAGAATGATGTGTGGTCACTCTGGGCTAATTGTATCTCCAGCAGAAAACCATCTCACTGGGGGTAGTGGAGGCCTGTACACACAGGTGTGAGAGGCCAAGGTCTGACACCTACGCATAGGATTAGCTATTTATGAAATTTGTGTCTGAGATAATAATCATATATGTTCTTTGTTCTGATTTTTATAACACGTCACATCAAGTATAATTTCAGCATTTTATCATGTTTCACTCACTGGTACAGTCTTATTCCTGCTCTCCTCCCCTCTCTCCTCTTCATCTGGCTGTACAGTCCTCATATCCCTCTCACCATTACCATGCTTTTGAAGTGTAAGCAATTAGACTAGCCAAAGGAGTAACACAGGACATGATGCAGGAGATGAGAATTTGATCATTAAAAATTCAATCCTTATTCATAATGAATTCCTGCTCTGTTTTTGAAGGATGTGCTGCTGTCAATACTTTGTCCTTGACTCAATTTCAGACAGTTTCATCATTCTCCAGTTATCCTAATGCAGTTGCCACTCCAAAGAATGCTCTGATGTCAGCACTCTATGAAATGTAGACATCTAATTAGAATAATAATAACTTTATTTGTATAGCACTTTTCAATTTAGGTGGCACAAAGTGCAACACTATACATTATAACAAGAAAATAAACAATATGTAACACCCCACAGTCCTTTCCCCTCTTTTTCTCCCGTGTATGACTCTAACGAGCCTCACCTGTGCCTTGTTTAACCCTGTCTCTCGTTTCAACCCACGTGTGGATGATCCCAGGAGCCTTTCGTTCACTCCCTCATCTGTGATGTATGTAAGTGATTCCTAGTCCTGACCTCCCCAGTCCGGTCATTGTATTAAGTAGAGATGGCAATTTCGAATCATCAAAACAATTTTTGTAGAGGATGTTAGCAATAATATGAACAAGTCTGCACGTCCACTTCCATGGCTTCTATAATGGAGCATATTTAGCCACAGGTTCTTTCCACCATGCTGTGCTAAAAATGCTACTGTGGATTATCGCTGCCCAAAGCCGTCAGACAACTGGTGACCGACATCACACTTTCTCCAGACGTTACACTCCCTATTCATAACCAGCATCCTCTCTTAGTATAATATAATCCGGTGCCTTATGTTGTAACTGCACATAATTTATCTGCAGATGATTATTATTCTCATCTTTAAATATCCATGTTTAGCGGACATTCTGCTCCTCAACATTTTACATCCATTTGTGTACTATGTACAATAGTACCTTGGTTCTCGAACTCACCAGAACTCGAATTTCTTGAAAGTCAAACAAACCAGTTTGACCTAGAATTCGTTCTGAATATCAGAAGTCGAACCGTGAACGCCGACCTAATATAAATTGTACGCGCCAGGAAATGAGTCATACTACAATGCAATTCTTACTCGAATGCCTTCTTCACAGACTGGAGGATTAACCAAATAAAGCAGCGCAACATTACAGTAACTAACAATAAATAAACCACTAACTTACATGTACTGTTAGAGCATTTATGTACAGTAACTTATTTAAACTTTATTTTACCAGGTAAATTAACTGAAAACCAGTTCTCACTGCTTAACGTGATATTAGCCCCTTAACGTCTGAATTGATATAGCTGTATATAAAAAAATATTTTATGTGTGTTTTTGCCTTTAAGTATAGAGTAAATAATGTTGAGATTATTAATTTCATTTTTGCACAAAAAAAAAATAGAAATTTTGGTATGTTGCAAATTTGCGACAACAGGCATAATGGTCAATAATAAGACAACAATAACACAGTAGTATAACAGTGAAAAAAAATAAGGTTTTATTTATTCACCCATTTTTTTACTTATTTATTTATATAAATCTGCAACAGGAGGTATTCAATAATAAGTAACCCCAACCACACACATGCATACATACATACACATACACATACACACTCACCCACCCATGCATGCACGTATGCGCACAAACACACACTCACCGGTGCACGTATGTACACGCGCACACACACACATGCATACATACATACACACACTCAAGCAGGCACGCACAACAATGCAAACAGTGTAACAATGTAAAAAAAAAACGTTATTTTTTTTTCTCACTCGTGGAATGCACAGAAGCAGTTTTTGTTCTTGTTTAGGCACAGGTGAACATCACATTTTGTACACTTGATGCTAGTGTGGCCCGAGCACTTAGGCAATTTGCAGCGTTGCCGCACACTGTCGATTTTTGGCCAGTGACCCACAGCATCAGCACGGACATCTTGTGTGGGAATAGCCTTAGTTGGTCCCCTGCGCTGCTTCTTCTGGAACTCTCGCTCCACATCAGACGAAGGCCGCCCCCTCTTTTTGGCCAACAGATCTTTGCCTTGCATGCAGAGGGCCTGTGCAATGGAAAGCCTGAAAGCCAGCAAGTCCTTCTGCTTCTTCCGTGGAACATTCATACTGTCACAATCACGCCGATAGAGCAACCAGCCGTTGACCACCACCATGTCCACGAAGTGAAAGAAGAATCGGTGGTAGTACTTCTTAGACCTGATGTGGATGCGGTAGTAGGCGATTAGGGCATCAAGTGCATCAACACCACCCATGAACTTGTTATAGAGGGTGATGATGCTAGGACATTTCACAGACACTTTCATCCTTTCCTTTCTGTCCCACCTCTCTATGAAGGAAACAGGCTGAGCACTTGCAAAAGTGCTGGCAACAATCACCCCTCTGTTGTCAAACCATTTCACAGCCCTAACCTCCACACCGTCAACAACAGCCTGTTGCTCCTCAAATGTCCCTCTTCCCTTCTTTTTGAGCTCTTTGTCTTTGCTGAAATTGCCGCCCTGCAGACGATTTTGCCGCACAGTGCCAAGGGCTGGTATCCCCCTGTTTGCAAGAGCTACAAACAAATCTAGCGAGGAAAACCAGTTATCAAAAAACAGCAGGTGGTTGACAGAGCCTTCAATAACTTGTGCAAGTTTTAGCACGACATTCCCGCTTGCCCCGATGTCTGCTGAACCTGGTGGAGGATCAGATTTCCCTGCATAAACATCAAATGAGTGCACCAGGCCTTTTGTGTCACACAAAACAAAAATTTTATATCCCCATTTGTACGGCTTTTTGGGGATGTACTGTTTTAGAACAGATCTGCCTTTGAATGGCACCATTTGTTCGTCAATAGACAGCATCTGATCTTGAGGCAGAGCTTGGAATTTGGGGAGCAGGGAATCAATTAGTGGCCTAATTTTGAACAGCTTGTCACTGTTGTTGGGTGCTGTGTTGTCACTCAAATGAAGAAAATGTTTAATTTCTTCCCACCTGTCGCGGGGCATCACATCAGCCACCTGCTCTACACGACATGCATTAGACCAGTAGATCCTAGAGCGAGGTAAGCGGATAACACTCATGTACAAAACAGTTCCAATGAACTGCTCCAATTCCTTCTGATCTAATGTTAGCGCATGGTTTGGATTTTCTTGTGTGCAGTACAGATTGCTCTGATTGA